ATTATGCTGATAATAATCACATCAGCTGTAGCCATCTCGCGGTTCTAATGAGTTACAAGAATATTGATGCATATATGTATCTGTGTTATTAAAATATTTTATTTGAGTATATGTATTTGTGTTTCTTAATTACTAGATCCTAAGATGTCGTCGATCACTAACAATATTCAGGACTTGTGCATTTATGGTATGGTATGAAATTAGGATATCTATATTTTCTCTTGTTTGTTGATGGTTTTACACAATTTACTTGGGTTTGTTTGCTTAAAAATAAAATTGCTGTTCATTTCTTTTTTCTCCAATTTGAATCTTATGTCCATCAATAACTTAATGACACAATTAAATCATTCCATTCGGACTAGGAAAGAGAGTATAAAAAATTACATTCATATTTCAAATAAATTGGCATTGTTCACCTTATTGCATGTCCATGCACTCATGAACAGAATGGCATTTCTGAGCATAAAATCAAGCATGTTGCTGACACTAGCTTAACTATTTTGGCAGATGCTGCTATTCCGTTCAAGTGTTGGCCTTGTGCTTTTCAAACTAGTGTTTAATTAATTAACTTATTGTCTACTCCAATTATCCATAATAAAACAACGTTTGAATTGCTATAATGGTAGTAAACCTAAATACGCAGAACTGAAAATCTTTTATTGTACTAAATATTCTCTTTTACATTCATATAATCGGCATAAATTTTATTCTTGCACTAACGTTTGTGTTTATCTGGGTCAGTCTCCTTATCATCATAGTTATTTATGTCTTGATCTTGAAACTAATAGAGTCTTTGTGGCTAGACACGTTAAATTTGATGAAACTACTTTCCTTTACATGAAAAAAGATGAACAGAATGAGAGTTTCACTTTGCCAAGGTCTACAACTAATCTGTGGATGATAATTTCAATTTCATCTCCTTACACCATGCACAAGGTATGTCTATCTCTACGCCTTTATCTTTCTCTCCATCTACTTTTGTTTCCTCCTCTCTTTCAACTCCTACAGCAACTAGGACAATATCTCCTAACTTTCATCTCTTTATTCCTTCCCATAACATCCATTGTACTGTGAACCCTCCTCCTCCATTTGCCAATTCCTCTCCTAGTCTCAATTTTATTATTATTCTTTTTACATATCCCATTATATCATTTATCACATCTGATTCTCTACTCGTTTAAACCCACTTTATGGCCCTTTGTCTCTCCTCATACTTGTTCATGTTTTGTCTTGCTACTGTTATTGTTTTTCTGCTAGTTTATATGGATGATTTAATCATCACAAGTTCCTCTCCTAAATTGATCTTGGATATTAACCATCAGCTCAAACTTACATTTCTTATTTACGACTTGAGTGCTTTTCATTACTTCCTCGATATATAGGTCTCTGCTCATCTCAAGGACATTGTCCTCTCTCAAAAAAAGTATATTAGTGACCTTTTTTGCTCACACTGGTATGGAGGATTTCAATCCCTGTTCCACTCTAATGGTGATTTCTCTTACTTTGTCGAAAACCAGTGGCAACCCACTAGAGCATGGTGATCACTATCGTTAATTAGTTGGTGCTCTTCAGTATGTTATCATCACTCGCCCAATCATCCCATATATTATTAATAAACGTTGTTAATTCATGCATCATCCGACTGATAAGCATTGGAAAGCTTTGAAGAGATTACTAAGTTACTTGAAAGGTACTTGATCCAAAGGTTTGTTTTTTACTTCTACTTCACGTCTGAAACTCCAATGTTATGCTAAACAACCTACCATTGCTTATTCTTTTATAGAAAGTGAACATAAGGCTATTACAAATGCCACAGCAAAGGTTATCTGGATTCGTTCTCTTCTTGCTAAATTTAGCTTTACTATTTCTAATCCAGATCTTTGGTGTGATAATATTAATGTCATTTATCTTACCTCTAATACAGTGTTTTATGCTAGGATGAAACATATTGAACCAGAATATCATTTTGTCTGAGAACAGATTGCCAATGGTACTCTTATAGTTTGCTTTATTTCCCCCAGCAACCAAGTAGCTGATATCTCACCAATTCCTTGTCCATCTCTCATTTTCAATTTCTTAGAGACAAGCTTCATCTCATAGATGCCCAAAGGCTTGCTGAAGGGTGCTAGGACTATTACATTTCAGAAATGTTAGCATAAGTAGGACCTTCACCATTCCTCAATCTCTTTTTTGACATCAAACACTTTATATTTATCTTGTACGGCTATAAATCCTTATCACAAGTATACGTTTCCATATAAATAGGTTTCACATCAAGATTAATATATACAAGAGTTTTCAATACTTCCCACCATGGATTTGTCCAAAAATTTGGTGATCCAAAACCTAGTCCAAATAAGATTTAAAATGTCGGTCAAATAAGAAATTGATTCAATTAAATCTAGTCAATTTGGTTAAAACCTGATTGATCCAAAATCTAGTATGGCCAAGGTTTGAAGTTAGACTAGAAAATAAATTGATCCAATCAAACCCAGTTGATCCGATCAAAACTCGATTGATTCATCTAGGCAAAACTTAATTAAGATTAAGTCAAATCTAATTGATCCAATAAAAAAGTCTATTGATTCAGTCAAAATTCAATTAAGATTTAGTATAATCAAAAGTTAAAATAATAATAATAATAAGTTGAAAGTAAAAACCTTGTAGCATGGCTTCAAACCTTGTTTTTGCCAAGAACAAAAAAAGGTCCTACCAAGTTGCTACAAGTGAATTAGTTATATAATATGTATGTGATTCAGATTATACTAACTGATCCTATGAAAAAGCAAGTGTGTTATCAATTAAAAAAGAAGAAAAAAAAAAACAACTAATGTATTGGGGATTGGCGTTGAATGTTGGTAATGACAAACTCACACATTTTGTTTAAAAGATTTTCCAATCCACTATAAGCATACTTGGGATGCATTTGTATCTGTGTGGATAAAAGATTATAAAATTATCATATATTACAGTCCCACTAGGGTGACCCGTGACCGAATAACTCGGAGCCGTGGCCGAGTCTCACAACTATGAGCAGTTACATTGAGATGGTCACCGGCCTGTTTAAAAAGTACGAATCCAAGTTTCTGGTACTAAAAATATAATAATAATAATAGTTGAGGCTGAATGGTCCTGGCCTCCTAGGCTTCTCACTCTTGCCAGCTAACCTTCATCTGTTGGGCCGGACTATTAAAGATGTCTTATTGATTAATTCTGATATTGAAACAATGAGGCACTGATATAGAACTGTCAATTTTCTAGGCCTGGCCCATAGCTGATCGATGTTGTTTGCTTGACGGGAAAGGGGAGGAAAAACAACGGCAGGGACGCAGGGTGGTACCAAAAAAAAATAAAAGAAAAACAGCAAAAAAAAAAAAAACATTCTTTATTTTGCAATTGCCTTTTTTTTCCCCTTGGAAAAAGACGATGCATGCTAATTATCAGAAAAATTAGGTGAAAACCGAATATGTTCATGGAGAATAGTTTCATATAAAAAAAAAAAAAATCAAAGATAAGCAAGAAATCAAGAATAGGTTCATTTTGTGGCAAAGGGACTTAACAGTTTTGAGCTAAAAATTAGTGGAAGATCGAATCTGTTCATTGAGAATCTTACAAAATCAGGGATTTACCGTATAGGGTTCATTACCTTTTCGATAGTGGTGGAGGTTACCCCAAACTCGAGGCGTTCAACAATTAACGGTAGTACACTTGTTCATCCCGTCTTAAAAATTTAAATATGAATCATGATGTCATAACCTTTGATTAACAGTAATTCTATATCTTATGATTCTTTCTAAAAATATATATGCACTGATTACTGAAAAATCTCCAGATATATGGAAGTGCTGATGCCATGAGCATGATAGATCTTGCTTCTCTTTTGTATGATACAGATCTTTATTTTTGTAGTAAAATGACAAGAGTACCCCGACAAAACACCAGCCCATTTTCTATTCACCGTATCCGTTAAAGACTTTTTATCTCCCGCACTGGAGTTTCTTTAGTTTCAGAAAAGGAAATGGAGTCACATCAGAGTCCAAAGTGTGGCATCTTATCGTCAAAGTAAACACCCCCGCGTGAACCAAAGCCATTGCTTCTATCTCCTTATGTGAATAATTGCCCCTCGATTATGAAGGACAATCTTCTCCCATCACATCAAAATATCTCAACCCAACATACTTTGATTGACACATCAGGATTGGATTACGCTGGCTAACCAGATACCGGAAAAGGATAAAAATAAAAAAGTCAATTACGACAAGTAATTTTCAAGGAATATGTAGTTAACCAATTGTTTTCCGTTATTAACATAGGCTAATCGATGAGAGACCTCCTAGGTTTCTGTTTAATGGTTGGTTTTGCCCTTGTTGTAGTATATTGAGATTGGTAGTTTCAATTTGATTTGAAAATAACATGTTTTAAGTAAATATTGTTGTTTTGTCAATTTTTGTTTGATTTTACTATTGATTAATGGGTTAAATTTCCATCGTTGATCAAAATTGTCCTAAAAAAAATAATTCTCTTAATAATTTGAATTGAATTTTTAATATATCGTTACTTTCAAAACAATTCAATTTTTTTTAGGTTAGAAGGTATTTTAAATTTTTATAAGTAAATAGATTAATTTTTTATATAATATTTAAAATCTTTTATCCATCTTTAAGTTTTTAAATAGATTAATTTTTGTAGGTCATAGATAATCAAACTCTTGACTATTTATTTATTTGACGTTCCTCTCAATCAATTTGTCAATTTCCAATCATCTTATATTTACTTTGCTTTGGTAGTTGTTTTAAAAAAAATCTTCATTTTATTGTTTTCTCAAAATCTAATGTATTTAATTAAGAAATACCGTGACATATAAGATTTCTTAAATGTCAAAGAAATTCATTGCAAGAAATGATAATAGCTTCTAAGTCAGAAACCTTTTTTTTGTTTTTTTCCTTCTTGCAAAGTTATCTTTAAATGCATGATGTAGTTATAATACTCTTGAACAAGTAATGCCGGAGATATTCAACAACATGATAAAACGTGGATGGAATAGGAGAAGTATTACACCATATTAGAGTACTTGATGCTATTCATCAAAACAGAGAGGACACATTGGTAACAAAAAGGTTAAATTATTTTACATTATTTTAGGACTTATATGCAAACCTACAAACTTTAATTACCATACTATATTTATGAATCAGACTCGTAATAGGAGTGTGTTCTATTTATTTATTTATTATTATTATTAAGTATTATTTTTTCTACAAGGACTGAGTCAAGGATAAGCTTTCAATGTGAGTTCGCAATGCCACCAGACAGAACTGCAATTAAACACGTTTGACTTTCTGGAATGCTTATTGTACCCTTTTATATATGTTATATATTTCTAACTTTGTGAGTTGGCCTGATCTGGAGAATGGAAAGCCACTTGGACTCGGAAGAAGCATGCTATACGACAATATCTTCAGGTAGCTTTGGTCTGGCCTTAAAAAGAGAAGACGGCAAATCCAGGAACGGACAATTGGTGGAAAAACAAGTCATGAAAAAATGCTACCCCTACTAGCCAGGTAGTGTTCCAATTTAGGCAAAACCCACTTTACAGAGAAAGTGAGGGTTAATTACTTTTTCTCCAACTATCATCCCCACCACTTCTAATAATAAAATCAGTCCTTGCATATCCACTCACCATACCTGCCAAGTTGAGAGATGCAACGGATCGATTAAAAAACACAAGGGAATTGAACCAGTAGTAAAAAAGAATAAAGGGTGTTTTTTTTTTTTTTTTGGCAATTAGAATTTATATCTCATAGAAAAAATTGAACCAATAACAAAATGGAATTCTTATGAATTTTATAATATTAGTCACTATGTATAGTTTGCTTTTGATTAAATTAAAGTTAATTTCAACGCATGAAAATTGACTGAGTATAATCCTGGATCCGAGAGGGCAAAAAAAGATTGTAAATAATTGGGGCGTGCTCCTGAAGCTGAAAAAAACAAATGATGGTGATTGAACCGGCAACTTGCAAGTGGGTTCGAGTAAGTCCAAAATAAGCTGTCACGAGCAAGGAGCTTTTCGGGGTGAAAGGCCCTCCTGGTAATTGAGTTAGAAGGGCAAGAAAATGAAAGCGATGTGGGATTTGGCCAAAGATCCATAGCCATCCAACCAGCATTATAGGAGAGAGAAAGCAAATGGGTTTGTGTTTTGGGACAATAACTACTCTATGATCATGATTTTGCCTCTCGGCTAGGCACATGTCCTGTAAATATAAGCATCATAAAGTTGTGGTGGATTAGAACCATAATGAACTTAGGCTTGAAAGAAGGGTATGTGGGAATAAAGTTATATTATATGAGTTGACTTGTATCCACATATTAAAAAAAAAAAAAAAAGGGTGCTTCAACCACCATTGGCCGCCTGGAGCAAAAAGGCCAAAAAAGAGAGGAAAATTTCGGAATTTTAAGTTATTATTATATTTATCACTCCTTTTATAAATGTTAAAGTTGGTTTCTTTACATCTCTGGATTCAGTGGACCTTCCGGATTATCTTTTTATTCAAGGTATGTTTTTTAAATTCAAATAATCCCCCTTGCGTAACTCTATGTTCAAGGTTCGACGAATGTTATCACAAGGAAAACGCTTTATCTTTCGTTTCAGAGAGTATTTTAAAATAATTTTCACATTCATGCATGTCTCTACAGCAATCTATAAGATCTAGGCCTCGTTTATTTGTCGAAAAATGATTTTTTTTTAATTGAGCTGTTATTAGATAAAAATATCATAGAATTATAGAATTAAAGACCATTTGTAATGTGTCCAGACTCTAGATTTACCATTCGAACAGTCCCAGTTAAATTCGACAGCCTTGGCTCAATTATTGCACTTTCACACGTGCTGCGGAAACGTAGGTTTCACAGGCTTTTGTTGGGATCAACCTTGCGCAGTTTCATCATGATTGATGCCCTGAAATGGTCACGTAGTTTACAGCAATTCGTGGAGTTTAATTTTTATTTACCTTTGAGTGAGAGTCAATTTATTTTTACTGTCATGGAGTTTGATTTACTCCAATTCATGTATATTTTGATAGTCCAAATTGGAAAAGAAACCTTGTGAATTTTGATCCCAAATTTTGAAAATAATAGCTTTTTTATTATTATTTTAAGCAAGAATAATAAATTACCATTTAAATGAAAGTGTCTACTTTCTAGAGATGCTTCTGGCGTGTCTTCTTTGAGGCCTTAGCTGTTTTATATTCTTGTGTCGCATCCAAAAAAGAAATTGGCAGATAGAATTCAAATAATGTACCTCGTGGAAATACCATCTTGACGTGTCTTTTTCTAACAATGACTAGCCTAGCAGAACACGACAATAGAATACAAGTGCATCGAATGCCTGCCTTTTTCTCTCATGTAAAAATGACTTTAGTAAATAAATAGTTAGGTAACCACGTTATGCTGCAGTCATATAAGCATCATATAGATAGAATTAATGATTCGTATGGTATAGTATGAATAGAAAATTTATTTTTGATTATTAATATAAATCGAATCTAATTGGATATATATATATATATAAGCATAAAAATTTATATTTTAATAACTAAAGGTTCTTTCAAAACATTGTTTGAATTATTTTAGTTAAAAATTTAAAATATGAAAAAATAAATAACAAATAATTAGTATCATGTGTGCAGACATATAGTTAATTTATAACAAAACTAATGGTTTATAATATAATAAAAAAATTATAATCTACAGTAAATGAACGGTGATCATTATTTAAACACCCCGATTCTTTTAATTTTCTTTAAAATAATTTTATTTTTTAATAAATATAATTTATTTTTTTTATGTACGGATTTCAAATAAGTTTTTGTCAATAAATAATCAATTAAAAATAAAATTTATGTGTTTTATTTCTTTATTTTTATATAATTAAAATATATTAAAATCAATTTTATCATTGTTTTTATTGCAGTCTACCAACTTCAATATATTCCTTATAACTTAATTTTTTAAAATATTTTTTTATGTGTATTGTACCTTTGACCCACTGAGTATGGTCATAACATAAAAAAAAAAAAAAATAGAGGTCATTTATTTGAATAAAAATCAAATATCCATCAACACATAACACTAACTGTTTAATATTAATTTTTTAAACATTATAAAAATAAATTAATAATTTTTAATCAAATATTTGTATTTAATTTATTTTCTTTTTTTCATAAATTTTGTAGTTAAAAACCATAATTTTTTTATGCACTCATTCTTAAATAAAAATTTATAATAATTTAATTATAAAATTTTAAAAATGCCTCAATTTTGTTTTCAAAAGATTGCATAAAAAAATAAAGTAACAATAACTTGATTAAAAATGAAAAATGAAAAAAAAAAGCAGATATTGTAGAAATACTCATGAAAAAACGTTAATATCGCTGATGAAAAATAAAGCAACCATTAAATGCTCCGTAAAATGAATGAGTTTAGTTACGAAAAAGGACAATAAATCATGAAAAGAGAGGAAACAAACGAAGGACGGAAAAGTAACCTCACTTACCCATTAATGGCATAAAAGAAATTACACACAAAATTGAAGAGCGGAAAAATACCACTTGCAAAGATAAAAAGCATAAAATTACAAAAAAAGATAGAAAAAACTTAGAAAGGAAAGAAAAAGTGGGGGCAAAAAGAAATATCACATATATTGTAAGATGAACGTTTTAAAATTGTTGACAATCTATGGTAGTAAGATGGCTAAATCCAGCAATGGAGAGCAAGACAAGTCAGCTGCAAAAAGGAAAGAACGGTTGAGATGAAGCAAAATATGAGAGAATAGTATCAATGAGTCACAGTCCACAGTAAACATGAGTCTAGATGAACAGAAAATGAATAGTAAACATCACATTTGTTTTAGTTTTTTAGTAATTTACTTTATGAGTAATTTCTTCCTTTCAAAATCAGATTATTATTTTTTATAGTTTTATTTGTTTCAAAAAACACTTGGTCTACTAAAATATTTAAATCATGTATTTTATTATAATATTTCTAATTAAATCACGTTGGTAAGGGATATATTATTTTTTAAATACTAATTTAAGAGTTCAATAGTAAATTCTTCTATTTGAATTTTCAAGTTTTGATTTTTTTTTAGTGTTTAATTATCTGAAATTGAAAAATATTAATGTGTCGGCCACGAATTGTCATGTGACAAGTGACAAAAAAAAATCTTATTTAGGTTGTTAAAAAATAGAATTTGAATGCTTAAATTTTTATCAACTTTCTCTTTGAGTGTCTAGAATTTGATAGTTTATATATATATTTTTTTCTATCTGAGTTTTTTCGGTCATTTAAAACTAAAAAAATCTTAATGTGATTGAGATTTACTCAAATGTGACTGTCTTTGGCTTAAACGTGACAAAAATTGAATCTCACTTAAATTTATTAAGAAAAAAATTTATATTAAAAAAAAATAGTTGGCAATAATTTTTTAAAAAAATTAAATTAATTATCGTTAACAAAATAAACTCGAATTGTTTTAACTTTTTTCAATGTTAAAACTTTTAAATTTGAAAAAGAAAATATTAAAATGATGATATCTTAAAAGTGTTTTAAGAAATTAATTAGTAAATTTTTCAAGTTCATTGATCAATAGTAATTGATTTTGATTTTTTTAATTATTACCTGCTATTTTCTTTTATAAAATTTTTATATATTTCTTATTTTTTTCTCAATAAATTTAAGGCATACTTTTTTCTACTTGGTCAATTAAAGATCGTTGTGTGTCCGTGCATCCCGATCACATAAATACTTTTCATCTCAAGTGATTGAGAAAATTCAAATAGAAAAAAATAAAATCATACGTCGGGTATTCAAATGCAAAAATAATCAAAAGTTAACCACTTACTTTTCAGTTTTCTCTAAAATTAAAATTATTTTTTGTTGAATAATCCAAGTCGGATCTATGTTTTACAATGTGAAAATTTATTCCGGACATGATTAGCATTTTCAAAATTAGATGATTGTGGACATTCAAATAAAAAAAATCAAAATTTGCACACTCAAATTGGAAAGGTTTACTAAAAACACTAAAATTGTAGTTTTCTCATTAAAAAAGATTATAGTATTTTTAAAAGATATGAATAAAATAATGACATAGCATATCAATTAGTGATATAACTAATATGAATATAAAATCAAATAGGGTAATTTTTTTTAAGAACTGGATGTGTATTTTCTTAGAAGACAAAACTCCAAGTATACAAAAACTTCGTTCGAATGAATAATACTCCCTCCGTCCCAAAAGAAATCTTTCTTTTCTTATTTGCATGTCTCAAAATGAATATTTTTATCAAAAAAAATTATCCTCTCTAAAAATTGACTTTGCAATTTTTTTTCAATTATATTTATTTTTAAAAGATAACGTAGTGAATATAGATGGTACTGGAGAGTAGAAAAGAATTCGTATTTGGTAGCTACAAGACAAGGAAACGGGAACATAATTTTCCCCGGATAAAACAAAAGAAAGATGACGAAGTTGTTGAATTAGAGATGCGCAATAAGCAAAAGTTACATGGACTTGAAAATTCTTATTTTATAATAAGTAAATAGTTCATAGTTTAAATGTTTGTTAATGAAAGACGAGAATGTGGACAAAATAACAAAAAAGAAAAAAACATGTCAAATCAAATTCCTTTTTTTCCACCTCCCCCTCAATGAGAAGGGAATAGACAGAACAATTGCAGGATGGTTTAGATTGGCTTGACCTGATTTCCTAGTGGATTGCCACTTGGCTTGGGGATAATCATCCTATTTTTAGAGCAGAGAAAGGATCAAGAGCAGATGATAGTGTCGTTGTGGAACAAACGTGTCAGTAAATGCATGGGTTTGAAAATAAAAAGGCCAGAAAAAGACCCCTCGGTAGCCATGCTCGTGGTCCAACGAAAAAGAGGTCGAGGTCCCAAAATTCACAGTCGAGTGGGGTTTTTCCGAAAATGATGGTTTAGTTGTTGCATCTATTTATTTTACACGCTTCATTGTTCCCTGATTTATTTATTTATTTATGCAGCAAAAACAGGCTACTCTACATTCCCATTTTAATTAATCAAAGATAGTTTCGGCACGAGTTTTGTTTCATGCGTCAATTAAATAAACACTCTATCGTTGGAAATTAGGAGCAAAACTGAAAGCATGGACGTAATCCGAAAATACTAATTGATTTTTAAAGATATAAAACGTATGCATAATAAAAAATTTCAAAATTAAAATGTATTTTTTTTTTTCAGACTTGAAGAATTGTTAAGCCAAGCATGTAGGTGGAAGGATTTCCGATATTGGCAATAATTGAGAAAATACGCTCTGGTTCTCAATCCTCCATGCATATGACCTTTTGAAGCCTTCAACGCCCCCATTGTAGCCTATAAGGCTGTTCTTCAGGCTGGAGACTTGTAAAGAGAAATAGTATAGAACTGCTGGTGTTAATTAATTGTAGCATCCCCAACGTTGCCCAAAAATATCTTTATTTTTACACCCTCAACAGTTTGAGAACCCCGGTTATTATATGATAGATCAATATATTTTAACCATATGAATTGTGTTTATTTATCTTAATTTATTAGTAGTGATGTGATAAACCTAATCTACCGTACTATGTCTTTTATGGTCCGAAACGACAAAGGAAAAATGTGTGGTAATGCAGGCCTGCAGGGTCGTCCTAATAATATTTTTGGGCAGATTAATTTTGTGGTAATGCAGGCCTGCAGGGTCATCCTAATTATATTTATTTTTGTGTAAATTAATTTTGTGGTAATGCAGGCCTGCAGGGTCATCGTAATTATATTTTTGTGCAAATTAATCAATTAAAAAAAAATTACTATAACCAAATCTATCACCTTATCAAATCCAATCTTCTTATATTCTCTCCTCAATTAAACACCCAAAAAAGCCAAGACAGTGACTCTTGCGTCCTCTCTGCTCATGTTGCTCCACATACTTCAGTGGACACAGCATCTCTCTCTGTCCTCAGTTTGACACCCAGAAAGCCAAAATACACTTATACTACGAAGAAAAGAAAACGAAAAGGAAGAAGAAGAAGAAGAAAAGTGTAGATGATAAATAAAGCCCACAAGACGAAGAGAAAAGAAGAGAATCTATGCTGAAGCTCGACTGTGCCTTTTCTTTTGTTCTATTGTTTAACTAACAGGACCCACACCCACGCAGGACCAATACCTCCCCTTCCCCACTCTTCCTCAATAAATAATTCAAAAAGCTTTTGAAGTAAACACACTGTCCTATTTTTTTATTACAACCTTGGAACAAAAAACAAAATTTCAAACGCTTACCTTCCTTAATATATTTATATCTATACATATTTACACGTAAGTCTCTGTTTGCTCGCCTGCGATGCTGACGCCGGTTAGCGTAGCAAGGCAATGCTTGACAGAGGAGGCGGCGCGTGCTTTAGACGAAGCTGTTGCGGTGGCGCGTCGAAGAAGCCACTCCCAGACGACCTCTCTCCACGCCGTCTACGCACTGCTAGCTCTCCCTGGCTCAACTCTTAGAGATGCCTGCTCACGTGCCACCGCGAGCGCGTACTCCTCACGCCGTCAGTTTCGTGCCCTCGACCTCTGCGTTGGCGTCTCTCTAGACCGGTTACCGTCTTCTAAAACTCTCGATGAGGACCCACCAATATCGAATTCCCTGATGGCAGCGATCAAACGGTCACAGGCGAATCAACGGAGACACCCTGATAACTTCCATATGCACCAAATACACTGTAACCAGCAAGCGGCGTCGGTTTTGAAAGTGGAAATGAAGCATTTCATCTTATCGATTTTGGACGATCCTATTGTGAGTCGGGTATTCGGGGAAGCCGGGTTTAGGAGTTGTGATTTAAAGATAGCAATAGTTCATCCGCCGGTTACTCAAAAATTCTCACGGGTCGGGTGCGCCCCAGTATTTCTATGTAATTTACCGGGCTCGAATAATACGGGTCCGGTGCGACAACCCGGGTTTAGTTTTCCGTTTAGTGGTGGGCTTGATGATGATGCCGGTGATGATGATGTTTGTAGAAGAATTGGTGAGGCTTTAGTGAGGAGAGATGGGAAAGGAAGGAACTTATTGCTTGTTGGGGTTCATGCAAGTAATGCTTTAAAGGGCTTCGTTGATAGTGTAAATAAAGATAACAAAGGAGGTTTTTTGCCTAGTGAAATTAGGGGGTGAGTGTAATTAGCATTGAAGATGAGGTTATTCAGTTTGTTAGTGAAGGAGGGAGCGACAAAGAGAAGATGGGATTGAAGTTTGAGGAGTTGGGCCAGGAATTGAAGCGGTGTTCGGGTCCAGGGATTGTTGTGAATTTTGGAGATTTGAAGGTTTTGGTTGGTGAAATTGTATGTGCTGATTCTGTGAGTTATTTGGTTTCGAAATTGACGAGTTTATTGGAGGGTTTTAGGGAGAAAATTTGGTTGGTGGGAGCTGCAGATAGTTATGACACATATTTGAAGTCTGTAAGGCGGTTTTCGGATGTTGAAAAGGATTGGGATCTTAGGATTCTGCCTATTGCTTCTTACAAGAGTCCCATTGGTGGTTTTGGCTCGAAATCGAGGTGAGCAGTATTATCCTGTTATAGCTCGTATTTTCTCTGTTTGAATTTGTTGTGTCAAAGGCTGAAAATGTCCTATATTATACTTTCATTGGATTTTAAAAAAAATTTGGATGCAAGAATTTCTATGCAGCGTGGTGGAGTCTAAATTTGATGTGTGCATTTCTGATTGTAGCATACAGTAAGTAGGAGAAGGATTTGGCCCAAAAAGATTGGCCTGGATTTAATTTATTATTATCTTCTTTTTTTTTTTTTTTTTACTTATTTACGATTGCTTCTATGAACCAGTGTTTGCTGTTGTTTTAGACTTGCTGTATTTGTGTTCTAATTTGTTACCTCGATTACATTAGTAGATGCAATTTCTAAGCTTTTTCTTTGCATAATTCTTTTGCTGGGTACTTGGTGCTTCTGTTCCTGTGTACTTGTTGTTATTTGTATTGCTTGTGTCCCAAGTATTACCTTGTTCAAATGGCACTTATTCTTGTTGCTGGAGCATTTATTCACTTAGTTTTGTACTTAGCAAGTTTCCTGCATTGGGAGCTTAGAAACGCTGTTAAAATTTGATCACATCTCACTTTTAATTGTCCATGAAATGAAATTTAGTGTTCTGTAATTTGCTTCTTTTCTTTTACTTGTGGTTATATTTTTCATTTTTATCTTTTTGTTGAAAATGAAAAATATGGCACCATGTTAGTGGCTAGCGATATTCCAAAATCAATTATGCAAACATGTATGCTGTGCGCACAGTTTAGTTTCTGACCATCTTTTACCCATTCGCACAGTTTAGCTTCTGACCATCTTTTGCCCATTGAATCTCACAGTTACCTGCTCATGACACTTACAGCTTGTTGGGGTCTTTTGTTCCATTTGGTGGGTTCTTTTCTACGCCATCTGATTTCAGAATTCCATCGAACAGCACAAATCAATCAATCACTCGTTGTCACCTTTGCAATGCAAAGTGTGAGCAAGATGTTGCTGCTATTCTGAAGATGGGATCAACAATATCGTTTGCTGATCAGTGCTCAGAGAACTTACCTTCTTTGTTACAAATGACTGAACTTGACATGAGAAAGGCATTGGATGCTGACAAGGTGTGTTACTCTGTATTGCAAATCTTTGACTTAGCTCAACATGCATACCACATAACTGTGTGGTTCTTGTATGAATAGTCCGCAAAGATTTATCTGCAAATTATCTATTTTCTGTTTTTCCATTGGTATTAGTAACAATATTTATGGAAGTGTGTGCTTCATCTTCAGTGCAGACCAGAGATGATGGTACAACATTGAATGATAAAATTTTGGTGCTGCAAAATAAATGGAATGATATTTGTCAACGTCTCCATCATGCCCAACCATTCTCAAACTTTGATGTTTCCCAGGCCACATCCCAGGTCTCCATTGCTGAGGGTTTTCAATATGTCGCAGATAGGAAGGAGAGCAGAAGCAATAGCAGCAGCAGCAGAGATTCGTCACTAAATGAGAGTCAATGTGCAAATCTTAATCTTGGCATTTGTTTGAAGCAAAAGATCTTTCCTGGGAAATACTGTGTAGTTTCCGAAGCTGAGAATGTTAACCACCAATCTAAGCTACTGGAAGAAGTTCCAATACATCAGCAAAAAAGAGAGAGACCCCTTGGTTTACCCGTTACCCCCTGTCCAGTGTGAGTCTGCCCACTGAACGGACATCGTCATCGTCTGTCACTTCAGTAACCACAGATTTGGGGTTGGGAACTCTTTATGCATCAAGTGCTCGGGAGGCAGATACTACAAAATTATGTGATGACCCTATGGAGCATCTTCAGCGCATCTCAGATTCTGGTTCTGCAGAGTTTGATGACACTGCTTCCCTTCAGATTGCACAATCTTCCTCCTGCTCTGGCCCTTCTTCAGGAGGGCAATTCGATTTAAGAGATTTCAAATCGGTGATGAGAGCTCTTTCTGAAAGAGTTGGTTGGCAAGCTAGAGCCACACGTGCTATTAGTGAAGCTGTATCCCGCTGCAAAGCAGGACATGGAAGACACCATGGTTCCAATTCCAAAGGAGATATTTTGTTTACTTTCCTTGGACCTGACAGAATTGGAAAGAAAAAAATTGCCTCATCACTTGCTGAGGTAGTGTTCGGCAGTATCCAAAGCTTAGTCTCTGTGGATTTGGGCTCCCATGATAAGGTTAGCTCATCAAACCCAATACTTGGAAGTCAACAATTACATGATGATGATGAATTAGGGAGGTCAACGACTTTTGTTGATTATATTGCCTCGAAGTTAAGCAAGAAACCCCATTCGGTAATCTTTCTTGAAAATGTAGAGAAGGCTGATCCTTTAGTCCAGAATAGCTTGTCCCATGCTTTGAGGACTGGTAAATTTCCAGATTCACGTGGACGAGAAGTTAGCACCAACAATACAATTTTTGTGGCAACATCAACAGTCACAGTGGGCAATATGAACATCCTGTCAGAGAAGGAATCCATTAGGTTTCCCGAGGAAATGATACTAGGAGCTAAAAGCTGGCAAATGCAAATATTAGTGGAACATGTTACTGGGGCTGCCAGTAAAAGCAGTGAAATGAAGGTGAGGATTTCAAGAGAAGTAACTTCTGCAGTCTCATCTTCGAATAAAAGAAAATTAGATGTAACCAGTGACGAGCACGAATGCAGCTGTGAGTCTAGCAAACGGACCCCTAAGGCATTGCGATCCTGTCTGGATTTGAATCTTCCTGTAGAGGATACAGAAGAGTGTGCCGATTATGCTGACTCTGACAGTGACCCCATTTCTGAAAACTCACAAGCTTGGTTGGAAGATTTTTGTGATCAAGTGGATGAAAAGGTGGTGTTCGAGCCATTTGATTTTGATTCTGTTGCTGAAAAGATAGTGAAGGAAATCAGCAAACAATTTCTGAGGGCATTCGGATCTGAGATAGTGCTGGAGATTGATCATGAAGTCATGGTGCAAATACTTGCAGCTTCGTGGTTGTCGGAGAAGAAGAGAGCAATGGAGGATTGGATTGAAGGGGTTGTTGGGAGAGGGTTCAGTGAAGCCAAGCGGAAGTTGCCATTTAGTGCTCCGTGTGTTGTGAAGCTAGTTACTTGTAAAGGCCTTGTGGTGAAAGAGCAAGCACCTGGGATATGCCTGCCTTATAGAATTAATCTGTGAACTGATTTTTCACTCACCAACTTTTCTTGTAATTATATGTATAGTAGCGTATAGCTCTAGTATCTGAAAAGCCTTTTTGGTCTATTGATCCCATAATTTTTTTGTGCAGCCAGATGTTATGGTGTAACTTTTGAACCTTTTTTGCTTTTTGTGGAAGAAAAGGTGGAAAAAGAACGTGAATGCCTCTTAGTAGTTAGTCCTTCCTATACCCAAACAGTTTCAACTCTCAACCACGTCATCCTTGAAATACAATTAGAAATGGCACTCTCTCTGAAAAGAATAGTATATATGTCGAGAACTTCTCAAAAAACACGAGAAGGCAAATGTGGATGAAGATATCTTCAAGACTTTGTACCATTTCATCTATTAGGCCCAACCATTTTGAAGGTATTGTAGTTGCAGCTGTGGTAAATAGACAGAAAAGGCAGACATCATTTATGATAAAAAAAAAAATTCTGGCAACCTCTTGTAGGATTCAAAGCTCGAAAGATTTATCCTCATTTAAAGAGTGCAAGCTTGCAGCCCAGTAAGTGCAGACTCGCCGATACGTAGAGTGGGCCTAGATAAAACAAAGACATGTAGACCCACGCCAATCCAGGCAGACTCGGCCCAAAACAACATATTCAGAATTATATCCGCCAGCCCCAATATTATTATTCGTAAAGGAAAAACTAAAACAGAGGGTGTAATGGAATAATTTACCCTCAATTGAGGCTGTAACAAAATAAAACCTATATTTAAACTATTTGAACACTAAGTTATTATTTTTTAGATAAAATTTATCATTTTTTATTATATCTAACAGTCAAAATATTAACTGTCAATTGAAATGCTTAAAATGACATTGGTTTAAATGTTTTTTAAAAAAAATTAAAATTGATAACTCATAAAAAATAATAATTTTTTTTAGTACATGGATCTCCATTGTACAACATTAATTGTCACACAATAAAAGTCAATCTATAAACAACAAAATCATTTAAGATTTCTTAAAGCTAACTATTATTAAATATTTTTTTCAAAATTAATTTTAATTCTAAAAAACATGAAATACTGAAAATTATATATATATTTTTTAAGTATTTTAATTAACGGTCAACACTTTGACCATCAGACATAACAAAATAAATAAAATTCATCAAAAAATTAATAATTTAAAGTCCAAAATTGATGAAGTAAACCTTTTTTCGCCATAACTCTAACTGTTTGATAGTAAATTATGCCAACGTATTTAAGTGAAAAGCCAAGTGTTGAACTATGATTAGCAATAGTGAAACACCTTAAAAAATAATGTCTGTTTTCTAAAAAAAAAAAAATTGAAGTAATTTTTTGAAATTTTATTCCCCTTTAATCCCCTGAGTTTGGTCGTCGTACGAAATGGCTCATGAACTCCGTTTGTGTTAAGCTTAGGTTCCTTAATATAGAGGGAGGAGAGGGTGAGAAGGGAGGAAAGGGATATTCCGGCGACCCCAACTTCTCAATGACCGAAAGTCTAGGATTCCCCCTTTCTTTCTCTCTTTGTTTTTTTAATACCTGTTGTGTGAGGCTGGTCCTGGCGCTCCTGCATCATTCAGGAGCAGGCCAGACAGTATAGGCCCAGCGAGCGAGCCAGGCCCACCTTTTATTTTATTATATTTTTTTCAAAATCTTCTTTTCTTATTCTTTTGGCCTTTTTTTTTTTTTTTTCATTTTCAATGTTATTTGTTTTCCTTTTGTGATACAAAAAAACTGATTGCAATATGTATTTTTATGTCCTTAATTTATATGAATAGCTAGAGTTCGGTTAAATTTTTAGTCTTAGAAACTTAATATGGTATTTAATAATAAAAAATAAGCATGTTTAATTTTTATTTACTTTCATTATTTAAAGTATGTAACACATATGGACTGAGAATTTTTTTTATATATATAAGGATGAACATTTGGTTAATTTGTGATTTTTTTGTCTAACATGTGTTGCATAAAATATATTTGTAACCCATGAAGATTGCCAAAATAAATAAATTAAGTAGATGATATTTAGGTGTTTAGCAACATACATGTCAGTTGCTTCTAATACAATATCTTATAGATTTAAAACGTGTTAGAGTATTTTTATAAAAATATAATTTTTAATTTTATTAATTACTTTGAAAAAAAAATACTGTTTTGAAACAGTATATTATACTATTGAAACAGTACTCAAAGCCTATATTAATTTCTTTTGAAACTGTTGTTGTCAGAACGACTGGTACATATGTAGCTGTTTTGACAAGCAGTTACAACATAAAAGATAACAGAAAAGATCAACCGTTTTTTGCCAATCTATTTGTTTTCTTAACGTAGAATGGCCACTAAATTTCTTTAAAAGAAGACATTCAATTCTTACAACCGGCTCTTTGCTTTTCAACTATATATGTGTATGCGTGCGCCACTTTGCCATTCCATACTTGCACAATATTGTTATATTCTTGTTATTTAAAGAGAAAAGTATTGTAATGTTTTCTAGTTGAAAAAAAATATTCTTTATGTTTCTGTGCTCTTTAATCTCTCATTATAAAATCATATAATTTTTATTTGCTTTAGTTTTTGGGTAAGAGTGATATTAAATTATTTAGAATTTCAAGTCTTATAACTAGCTTTTTATTTTTCAACTATATACATGTGTGTGCCATTCTATACATACACAATATTTTTATATTCTTGTTATTTAAAAAAAAAAAGTATTGTAGTGTTTTCTAGTAAAGAAGAAAAATAATTCTTTTTTTTTTTTTGTTCCTTTAATCTCTCATTATAAAACCATATAATGTTTATTTGCTTTATCTTTTGGGTAAGAGTGGTATTAAATTATTTAGAGTTTCAAGTCTTATAAATAGCATAAACTTGTTAAGATATGACAAGATGACTGAACTTCTTATAACCTTGAGAGAATGTGCAATATTACTTGATCCATTGCAATAAATAAATTCTACGGACAACACGTGTCGTCTCAAAAAAGTAACATAACTATGCCTCAAGTAAATCATCTAAAATTCTTGTAAGAACTATTATGATAGCTTGGTCATCTTAATATTGCAAAATATGGTAACGTGATTTTAATCCATAATTTTCCTAATGATTAAGATAAAAAGTTCTATTTATTTATTTATTTTAATTTACAATGAATTTATTTATTTTATTGTGTTAGTTTTTATTGATTAATTATGTTCCTTTTTATTTGTTAGGAACAACAAAACATGTGATTTGAAAATTATTTAATGTCTTTTAAACATTACAAAATATTTCATATGATATTTATTTTTTCATTTTAATTCTCTATTCAATTTATAAAATAGGTTGTCCATATGTGTTCGTTTTTTTTAATGATAAATAAATTTAACTCAATTTGTCTACATGTTTCTTTTTTTCCACTCCTGAATTTTTGTGATGGTCCTAAAATTCGATTTTGGGTTCTCAATGATCACTTCTTCCGATTTCGTGAATACTTTTTTCATGCAATACCCATTATATATCTTTTCCATCCTTCATCTATTAAAGTTGATGTACATATCCACCGGGACATAAAAATAAAGGGCAAACATCAACGAGATGACTAAATTATTAGAGTATTATCAATTTTATATCCAAATTTTTTTATATCAATTATATTATTAAAAAAATTTTAATTTTTTAATTAAAATCTTCTATTCAAATAACTTAAAAAACACGTTAAATTTATTATAAAGTAAAGTTGTTTTTTACAAAAATACAATACAATTAGGATGAAAATATGAAGAAAAACCTTAAAAATAGATGAAAGTCTTTAATTGAGAATTTCTACAAAATAGCGATGTTGAAATTGAATAAAAAAAATATTTTGTAATAATGTTGAGACTAACGATATAGTTTGGCGCTATTTCTAAGATTTGCTCATAAAGAGATAATACCAATAAGAAGAAGAAAAAAGACTGGGCATTTGGAATTACACTATAAATTGATCCACAGGCTGAAAATGGAATTAGAAGCGACTATGGCTATTCTATAATCTTACGTCGAATAATGTTATTATCATCGTGATTATTTTTTAGGAAAAGGAATAGCCTTAAACTTATTCAATGCTAAGAACATGTATTTGTTTAATATCTTATGAGATAATTTTTTATAAGATTAATTTGTCACTATTGCTTCTCCTTTTTATCTAATTTTGCAATATGTGGCATAGCTCGTGAGCTCGTTGTTCAGTTAAGAAAATCGACACAGCAATTCAAATGCATTTCATGGTTTGATATTTATCAATCACAGGAATTAGAGGAATGATAATACATATTTGTGCATATCACCCATTCTAAATTAACTCCAACTGCATAGAAATTTAGGTTTAATTGATAGAAAGACCTGATTAAATACCTAATTTTATCTAAGATTAAGAACTATTTTTTTTCAATCAATAATTGAAGAGGATTTGGCATGTTTCATCCTTGAAGAAAAACGCTCTTATTTGACGTTCGAGTTTTCTCCGTCGTCCTGCTGTGGAAATTCTGCCTGTGGTTATGGCCAAGTGGACTGTGGGTTTTGCTAGAAGCTAACATCTTGGTGTTTTCCATCCACTGTACCTGATAAAAAGTCCGAGGCGGCTGGCTAAAAGATTTATCAGGTGGTAGAGACTAGAGAGACTGTCGTCGGGGTGCAGAATAGCCATTTAATATTCGTTGCGTGGCCAGCTTGCTGGTCTACTTTTTAACTTTTCAGCTGCAAGCCAGAGACCACTGCAATTGCTGAACGAAGCAGTGATGTCATACTTAAATCAAAGTCACATTTTGGAAGTCCGTTCAACTTCAAAAAAGGCTTCGCTCAAATATCATGTCCTTGAGACAGTTTTAATAGTATTTTTTTTTAGATCTGTTCGTATAAATTTCTATCGCAATGATGCCAGTTTCACCCAAATTTTTTAATAAAATATATTTTTAGAAAAAAAGGACACCTGTTTCAAACAGTACATAAATACTATTGGAAACTATTACAATGGCAACAAAAAGTTGTTA